CTAATCACTATTGAACAATCTTCGAATGTTTGAGTTGAGATATTTTACGTACCTTAGTTTTTTCCTATTCCATTGAAATTGCAATAATTGTGAGTACTAACGGCTCTCAAGTTTCACTGTAAATCCCAAGTATTCTTTTCTATGCTAGCGAATGAACGGAAAATCGGAGTTTTGGGATTACTGTAGTCAAATTCGGCAAATCTGCAAATAGTAGGTAGCGGTAAGAGCAAACAGAGCGCAGTTGATGGATGCAGTTCTATTGTAGGTGATGGACAACAAACAACGGGAATTTTCTCGAACACCACCACGAATGGGCAAGTGAGCAAGCATATACTTATTTACAATGCTTTTTATTTTGTGGCTTTTCTATTGCGCTTATTTGCTAAATTGTTTTTTTTTTTTGCATTTTTAGCAACAACAGCAACAGCAGTCTCAGCCGAATGTCGCACCTTTTCCTCCACCAGGAGTACAGCCTTCTAGTGCGATATCTCAACAACCTCCTTACTCTACAGTGCAAGAAAGCGGAGCAGGTTATCAACAACAGACTGAAATACCCGGCCCTTTACCGCAAGGAAGCAGCAATCTGCAGTACCCGGATCAATCACAGGGAGGGCAAAGTGACTATGGATTTGGTCAGACAATTCAGCCCACACGCTTCACTAACCAATTCGTTCCTGTAACACCCGACAGCGGAAGTTACACACCTGAATCACAAACTGTGCCTCCAGATAGCGGATTTTACAATAGCGCAAATGCAGGGTATCAGTCACCGCAGTCGAACTTCTATTCAACAGGCGACAATAATTTCAATACGGCATCTCCTCAGTTTCCAATTCTAAATCCTGCAACCACTTCCTACAACAACGAAAATGCTGGAAATCGAGAGGATTACGGTCAAGCTTCAGGACAGTACTACAACGAAGGCAATACTGCAATTCCCAACCAGTCCGCTATGCCTCAGAACGAATGGACAACTACCCCCAACTATCCTTACCCAGGTGGAGTGCCTCAGATACAGCCATCTACAACCGCAAACTATATTGCACCCCAAGTCTGGGACGGAGGCATGTATTCGTCTTCTTCCGGGAGCAGCTCCCCACCCCCAAATTTTGTTGGGCAAGAACAAAATAATCAAGGCTATGAGTTCCCAAATTCAGCCGGTCTCCCACAAAATGGGGCAACATCCTTAGCAACCCCAAGCAATGATTATGTGATTAACAACTGGCAGTCTACAACGCCTTCATCACAGTGGATGCCGGAAGCCCCATACTCCAACATTGACCCTTCGCAGAATCAAGGTGCGACTCCTGGGGACTCTTCAATCAATCGGCAGTTTGAACAGTCGACTACGCCTCCAGGTAGTCAGTATTACGTAACTTCTTACCCTCCAGCGTCAGTCACTCCTCCACCGAGCATGGCCACATCCGCAATGTGGCCACAGGGCGATATGTATTCTTCGACCCC